CAGACGGGCTGCTCCAGCAGGGCAGGGTAGTTTACTACATTTAAACTGCAGAGCCATAGCGAGCGTAACTTCAGGTCCAGCACAAGTCGGGACTGAGCGCTTCTTCCTTTAACTAATTATTTAGTCGATAAAAATTCTATCGACTACACAATTAGTGAATTATCAGCCTCTTAACATCCTTACCCCACTCATTAGGCCCTTTTAGCATGACCATGAACCATTGATCTCTACTTTATGGGAAGGGTTATCCAATCAATTATGTACCCACTGATTAAGTTTGTTAATGAGAAGGTTGTGCAAGACTGTATCAAATAACTTACTAAAGTCTAGATATACCACATCTACTGCTTCCCTCTTATTTACAAGGCTTTTTACTTTTCTGTGACAGGGTATCAAAATAAATTAAACAACATAGCTAGAGACAACATACCTTAAATCGAGCTTGGCAACATCTTCAGAGTGGGATGTCAACAGGAGCAAATGCTCCCATCAACTTCCCTTACACCTCATGACTGTGAGGAGTACCAGCACTGACCAGAGGTGCTCTCAGTGTTAAATTTAGCAGGTCTTTATTAGACCCGCTAAATTGAACACTAAAAGATTGACTGCGGTAACACTGATCTTCTGTGTAGTGTAGACATGGCCTAAGTGTTTAGTTGTTAATCAGTTCCCTTTTCAGAATGACTCTTTCTCTTAGTCTAATCTCACACTGGCTTTTACTATGTTAGGTGTCCAATCATAATCAACTTTCTTGGTGAAAACTGAAACAAAGATGTCATTAGGAACCTCTGACATTTCCACATTTTCTGTTATTGTTTTTCCTTCTTTGTTGAATAATGGGCCTACCCTGTGCTTAGCCTTCCTCTTACTTTTCATGTATTTGTAGAATGTTTTCTTGTTACCCTTTATATCTCTAGCTACTTTGAGCTCATTCTGTGTCTTGGCCTTTCTAATTTTGCTCCTACATTCTTGTGTTGTTTATATTCATCCTTTGTAATTTGATCTACTTTCCACTTTTTGTACAAATCTTTCGATTTTTAGATCATTCAAGATCTCCTGGTTAAGGGTGGTCTCTTGTTGTACTTCCTATAGTTCCTACACAGTGGAACGGTTTTGCCCTTGTGCCCTTAATAATGTCTTTTTGGAAAACTGCCAACTCTCCTTTCCTTCTGGAAATTCTCCCTGTCTTTCTTTTGTTGCTGCACCTCCTTCACTAGTTTTCACCCACCAGAAGCCCTCTCTGGAGGAGCTTTCTCTTCCAATGTTCTCAGAACCATTCCTTTCCCCAGGATCCTCTGTTTTCCAATTCCCCTACAGCAGGAGTAGCCTTACTTTTATCATGCTCAGGTGCTTTGTTGACTAATTGACAGCTTCCCAGTTACACTGTGACTTAATTAGCCCCCAGGTGAACCTGAGTTACCTCATTCCCCCTTATGAAGCCTATGAAAGATAGGCTGGGCCCCTGATCCTTTCAGAGGGCCAGCTACTCTGTGACAGCTCCTTTGTGTTCCTCCACACCATCCTGCTACTGTTGCTGCAAAAGCCTTCTCTTTTGCTACTTCTACTATGGTGAACAGTCTTCCTACCACTCTCCACCTCAATGGCACCTTGTCCAGACTTGTTTCCTTTACTCTGTTTCTGATGTGGGTTTATTATTCAATTTTATAAATGATTTTGAAGTCCAGTTAGCATGAAAGTCTTTTATAGAATAAGACCATCATCCTCCCCTCCCCCCCCGATGCTTTATGAAAACTGGCTTAAATGAATATGCATAACTTGAAGATGCTTAATGCAAAATGCATTATATAACATGAATTTTAAAGTTACAAATCTGCTAAATCTGTATATCTTATTTTGCACATGTATTATTCTTATGTGTGAAGTTAGAAATGTGAAGAGCGAATCTAGTTTTAATTCTGAATGTGCTAATGAGGGCCATCAGGGATACTTCAGAAACATAATGACTCGGTACTCAAACCAAAGACCTGAGAATAGTCTTTTTTGTCCTGTAAACCCAAATTGTGGTTGGTCCTAGGAAAACATGTGACCATATCACCTGGGACTGGACTCCATCTTGAATCTATTATCTTTCCATGGGGATGGAGAATCTAAACAAAGGGTTCCCACCCTGGGAAAATGTCTATTTAAGGCAGGAGTCAGCAACCTATAGCTCTTGAGCCAAATATGGCACAGTATGTAACCAAATATGGATTGTCTGTCATTCCCAAAATACACGCAACTTTTTAAATTAAAAATGAAAAATTAATTCAACATTTTAAAATCACATAATTACTGATCTCAAGATGGTCTTTTTTAGTCTATTTCGCCTTTAACAAGAGGTCAAAGTAAGGCAGCGCGCGCACTAGGAAGAACCAGCTGCACGGTGGCAAGAGCCGACTGGGGCACTCTGCTCGTTTAAAGCTCCAGCTGAAGGCGCACTGTAGGGGACGTGTGCACGCTCCCAGCCGGGACAGTGAGAGGGGCTGACGGCAGCAGATGCCTCCATCAGGCCATGGTGGCCCGGTTCCAGGACCATCGGACTGCCCCAGCCTCGGTGGCCCCACAACTGCTGCAGCGTCTGGCCACGGTAGCCCCGCTCAGGCTCTGACTGCGGAAGCCTGGCCAACAAGGCCTCATTTGGGACCCAGTCTCCATCTGGCCACAGCTTCCTGGCTCTGGCCCCAATCCCAGGGCAGGTCCCACAGCCTGGCTCCTCTCTGGACGCAGGAAGGGCTGGCGGCAGCCCCCCTCCTGCTGCAACATGGGTAGGAGGGGAGGCCATGATCTGGCTGTGGCAATCCTGGCCCAGCCCATCATCCACCTATTGCTGCCCAAGTGCAGCAGCCCAGCCCTGGCATGGTAAGGTAATCTGGTTCCAGGGTCCCCCACATACTCTACTTCCCATCCCCAGTGCCCTGCCCTGCCTCCTGTACCTCCAACCTGCTGTGCTGAGCCCTCATGCACTCCAGCCCTGACTCCTGCACCCCTACATCCACAAACTGCACCCCCAGCGGCAGCAGAAGTCCCAATAAAGTCTGTGAATACAATGTTTCATTCATGCTATTATTGATCATTATGTCAATTATCAATAACATTAAGTTGTATATTTTCAGTCATGCAGATGGATACAGTTCTTTGTTGACCACTTGTTCTGAATTTTGATGGGGTTTGGCTCTTTGGTTTGAAAAGGTTGCCGACTCCTGATTTAAAGGCATGGAAGCCTATCAGTTCTTTGTCTTCAGCTGATCTTTGACACTATCTTGCCCACCCAAAGAGGTTACACATGAAGAAACCAGGCAACACAGAACTCTGAAATAGCTGAAGACCTAAACCAGAATAAAGATTAACTCTGACTTGAAGCTTTTCATTTGAGATAAGAACAGATGATTAGGGTAAGAATTTGCATGTAACAAGTTTCTTAAGGGATTAGAACTAGCTGGCATCTTTTGTTTATTTTAACTTAGTAACTTTGATCTTTCTGTTTTCATTTACAATCACTTAAATCCTACATTTTATACTCAATGAAAACACTTGTTTATTATCAAGGCCAGTGTAAATAATTGTTACCTGGGGGGAGCAACTATTGTGCATAGCTCTTTCATTGACAAAGGGGGTGGACCTTATTTATCAGCTTTCTCTATGTAAAACTTTTACACAGAAAAAGACGGATTTATTCGGGGGCGTGGGTTCTTGGGGGTCAGTGTTCCTGGGTGCTGAATCTTTATAGCTGAGCCCACCCAGAGGTTATCTGGTTTAGTGTCTGAGTTGCTCTGCTGGGAGAACTGTAATCCCAACTCTGAGCCATGGCGGGGGGGAGATCAGAGCTTCTGGCCCAGTAGAACAAGATGGTGGGGAGCCCCAGACGGCAGGCAGGCAGACATCCGTGGTTTGATCCGCACACCTGGTGACAACCCCAATGGGATTTCTGTGATCCAACCTGTCACAAAGACTCAGTCCTGCAACTGGATCAATGCAGGAGTACCCTTGCACATCAAGTGGCCCTAAGTGGGGGAACAAGGGTCAGTTTGCTAAGATCGAGTTGCAGAATCAGGAACTAAAAGCCACATTATATAGTAACACCACACCAAAACCACTTACCTGAGAAAGGAGTTTGTTGTCATCTTCCAGCAGTTTGACTTTTGTTTCAAGTTGTCTGATATAGTTGGAAGATGAATCTTTAAAGAGAAGAAGTAGTAAAATTAACGTCACTGTAAGATTAACGTCTTTAAAATCAGTAATACGGTTTCACAGTTAGACTCATTTTTTTCTCACTGGAAGAGAAGCTTGGAAAAGAGCTAAAGGACCCATATTCAGGGATCAGAGCTAGAGAGTCTAATGCAGGGGTGGGGAACCCTTTTTGGGTCGGGGGCCACTGACCCACAGAAAAGTCAGTCGGGGGCCGCACACAAGTGAGAAGAAAAAAAATCCAAACTCTCACTGATGTGGGCCCCAACTGAGGAGAAAGACACTCCTCATATTTCCTTTCCACACCAGAGCCTAGTGGGGCCCAGCCTAGTAGATTTTGTGTGCTCTAGCCCTGCGGTAGGGCAGTGGAGAGGCTGGAGGGCCAGCATGGGCTCCCCAATGCTGGAGGGAGGGCCATGAGCCTCGGGGCTGGGCTCTGGGCAAGCCGGCGGGTGTATCCAGCCCCTGGACCTGAGTTTTTCCACCTCTGGTCTAATGCAATGGTGGGCCACCTGCAGTCTGGGGGCCTCATGTCGCCCATCAGGGTTCTGTGCGTGGCCCACAAGACACTGCGATTACCATTATGTGGAGGGCTGCCGGATTCCAATGGTTTCCGTCGGCATAGGTTTTTTCCTACCTGTATTACTAATCCAACACACAGATAAAGCATGGGCACCTGGAATTAGGTACGTGCTGACTGCACACAGCATTAACTGTGAGAGCCGTGTGCTCTCCCTTTGCATCCCATCAAAGTGCTGCTACGGTTCAATCGGCACTTCCCGCATATTCTAAGTACGCAAGCAGTTAACGAAACTACTCTCTTTCAGAAGACCATCTTGGTTATGACATCCTTGTGGCCCACTGAGATATAGGAGGGCCTCTCATGTGGCCCACTCACTAACCTAGGTTGCCCATCACTGGTCTAATGTATTAACAAAAAGGAGAAGATTACAGCAAGATCTAAAACCTGAAGTGCACACAATGTGAATGAACATACACACCCAAAGAATTCCATCAGTGAGACCTGACAGGCTATTCTAAAAACCCACAGAGTTAAGCAGAAATAATGATGTGACAGTGGTGTACACTATAGTCTCATATAACATCACAGAGTTCCATCTGGGGAGTTTAATGGGCAGTGTAACATTACAATAAGACAGCAGCCTGGTGCCAAATAGCTCTGTAGGAGGGTTGCTGCTGTGCAGAACATCTGCTTTTTGTTTTGGAACAGACTTTGAAGTAACACATATCACAAATGGCACATGGATAAATTGAAGAGTGGGTAAAATAGCTGCACAAGATCCATCAGGATTTAACTATTTGCAATGCATTCTTGTACACATTAATCTGTCACATTTCAAGTTACTCCACAATTTTAGTAGCAGGGCATGTGATATGTTTGTAGTGAGTTTTGCAGCTTAAGCAAGTGGTTAACATGAGCAAACGCTGTTCTGTCTAAAATACTTTGTAAAATGGAGAGGATAGCAGAGCACTAGACTAGCACACAGGAGACCTAGGTTCTATTCCCACCCAGGCCACTGCCCTGCTGGATAACCTGGGGCAAGTCACTTCACCTTCTTGTACCTCTGTCTCCCCATTTGTGTAATGGAGATAATGATACCTACCTCCTTTGTAAAGTGCTTTGAGATCTACAGGTGAAAAGCACTATATGAGAGGTAGGTATTATTATTTATTATGAAATGGTGTAAAAGCCACTATTCAACCCTAGCAAGTTCACACTGGGTATGAATGAGACAGTAACTAAGCATCCTGTAACCACACTGATTCTTACTGTGCTTTGGAGATTCCGAGCATGTTTCAGGCTCTGACCCACTGTGGTCTAATAAGAGGCAGTTAGTAAGAGATCCTTCAAGGCTCATTCCTATAAGAGGCTGAACTACCTCATCTCCCACTGATGCCACTGGGTGTTGAAGTTGTCCAGACACACTCAGCATCTTGCAAAATTCTTGCTGAACCATTCTTCATGCAGCTTTGCAGATCTGTTAGCATGCAACAACAGTTGATCTCTTAAAGTTCTTTGACAATTCATGTTAAAACTGAAATATGCTTGAAAATGCCACCTTAGACACGTGCCACACTGCACACAAAGGAAGTGTAACAACTACTCAGACAAGACATATTATATTCAAGCACTGTATCTACTTACAGGACAAATTCTCCCAGATAAGTATTATTGCATTTGTTTTCAACCTTTTGAATGAAACAAGTAAATCCAAATATTCCTCATAACAAAAACAGAGAATAAGAAAAAGCAATTTCAAATCATACAAGTCCTCTGAACAGGTTAAATGGCCTTAGGGTCCATACAACACCTCCCTGAGATGAAGTGTCCTCAGAGTTCATAAACTCAACAGGCCAGGTATGATGAACCTGGCTGCTGCTGTAGGAAGTGGTTTGTATGATCAATAGTTGGCACTTTCCACTCCAAGACTTCAATTCAGTAAGTGTAAAAGTTTCACTGAAATCAGGGACACTTCAGCACTC